GCTACTTTGGGCCTACTGTAGTGCAGAATAGGGCCAGGTGGGAATTCGAAGCAGAAAGAGGAGAGAGTAGGTGGAGTCAAAGAGAAGCCAAGGAGCTGCCAGAGAAGAAAGATGCAGCTGCCACCCAGAACCTTACCAGTAAACCACGAGCTTCGTGGTAAAATACAGAATAATAGAAATAGGTTAATTTAAGATATAAGAGCTAGCCAATGAGAAGCATGAGCTAATAGGCCAAGCAGTGTTGTAATAATATAGTTTCTGTGGAATTGCTTGGGTCTGCAGCTGGGAACAAATGAACAGCCTCCGACTACAATCCCACCATACTATCTCTTCCAATTTAGCGAGAAATAAATCCCAGGGGTCTTATCATTTCATCTTAAATGTCCTAAGTATATATTCCTAAAAGGAAAACTCTTTCTGAAATGTATCCTATGTTCTCCAAATCAACACTATTTCAACAAGACCACTTTGGAGAGAGATCAGTATCATGGCATGAGAATTTACTTTGATTATCAGCATAAGAGCTTTTGAAATGCAATTTGAATATGTTTCATAGGTAATAAAATATTAGGATCAGTAAGATAGCTCAGAGAGTAAAAGCGTGTGCTGCCAAGCCTGACAATCTGAGTTTGTTCCCCGGAAGTCACGAGGTAGAAGGAGAGAAATAACTTCTACTTCCACGTGAAAATAATTCCGCTTATTTTGTTTTTCTACCTATTTATCCCAGGGAAATAACACAGATGATGGGGGAAAAATAAACTAACCAAGTCATCCATATAAACATTACATCAGTGACATAATTTGAGATTTAATGAATAATGATAAAGGTTTGGAATAGTTTATATAACTAATGAAGTGCTTATAAAATTAGAAACATAGGAAAGTAAATGAGCTAAAATAAGAGAAATTTTACTATACTACAATTTTACCGTGACTACAACTTTGTAGAGATCCTTATGCACATAGACAAAGTTTAGGAACTAACTACAACAAACCAAGATAGTAGGACTGCAAATCTCTTTCTCCATATAAATATACATTTTTGTAATGGTTTTATATGTAAAATATTCTGTTACTATTTTTAATTCCTCGACATTATGATTTGGGCATCTACCAGAACTCAAATCATATGAAGCATGAAGCTTCCTCTGTGAAGTTTCCTGCAGGCCCTCAATCTTCATTTTTCTCCTAAATTCCTGTAGCTCTTGGCAGACAAAGCAATGGTGTTGTTCATAAAGTACCCTAAAGAGTCTTGTTGGAAAACGAGACCAACAAGAAGCGGCAGAGCAGTGAAGGAGGAGGTGAATAAGGGAGAAGCATAATGAGATATTTGTATAAAATACCATAATGAAGCCCATTATTTTGAACGTCAACTTTAAACTTTAATTTAAACAGGTATTCTAAAGCATGATAAACCAGGTGTGGTGACACATGCCTTTAATCCTAGCATGTGGGAGACAAGACAAAAAAGATCTCTATGAGTTTAAGGTCAGCCTGGATTATATCCAAAGTTCCATGCCAGCCAGAGATATTTAAAAATAACAATAATAATTCTGACAGGCAGTAGCCTTTCTCGTATAATGTGGCTCTTTTCCAGTAAAATTAAACCACCTGCACATTACCATGAAATTAACCTTAATTCCTTTCTTTTTTATCTCTCCCCCACCCCACCCACTTTGAGACAGACTTGGGTAGCTCAGGTTGGTCTTGGACTCACTGTGTAGCAGAGGTCAACCTTAACCTTGAACTCCTGATCCTCCTTCCTCTACGTCTTAAAATCTGTGATCGAGTTAGTTATGCACAGCTACTCTTGGGCTCAAAATCCTGTTTTACTACCACTCACTCACATCAAACTAGATTTTAACCCCCTAGAGCCCAGCCGTAGAGCAAGCACAGAAAAACTGCTTCAGTAAAGGCATGGGTGAGATGGGATTCCCGGGAGCCACGAGCGCCACCTGCTGGCTAGCAAGTCCCCAACAGGCTGTGGGAGGGCTCTAGACTCTGGCTTAGTTGAGGTGACAGCAGGCTGCAGAATTGGAGTAACCCCCCACACAGGACTTTCTCACTCAAAGCGAGTGATTTTATGAGAGCCCAAATCTGCCTTACATAGTCTGTTAACTGCTAAACTCACCTCTGAGGCTCCTTGTAATGCCACGATCTTTAACAGGCTCCAGGCAAGTAACTGTCAAAAATTTAATAAAGTGGTAGAAAGTGTACGGCCCAGAATGCCTCTTGGGCATGGACAGCTTTGTGTCATCGGCAGGCATCAGTGAGCTTTAAGAAGCCTAATTACAGGCTTCTGTTCCACCGAGTACAGCAACCAGACTGAGACTCAGAAGCAAACAGTTGAAAGTCAGAATAGAAGCAGCACACGTTATCCACTCTTGGTCCTCCGTGCAGCAATAGGAGTCTTAACTATCATGTACACATTTAAAGGGATCGGTTCAAAAGCCCACAAGCTGTGACCCTTCCTGAATGATCCCAGTGTCTCTCTACCTGGGGCAATACTAATAGAGAGAAATAAAAAGTGGGAATTGTTTAAAAATTGACTTTACACAAGTCAAACACAAATCTTGTATAACCATTTTTTTTTTCAATTTGACACTGTAGTTATAAATGCCTTAACTTCCTAGCCTGATTAGAAAAACCAAGGAAGTGGGGCATCACCAATAGTTCCTTCTTTGTGTTTCGCTAGGTTGGAGAAAAGCACTCCTGGAAATTGTACCGAACACCAACTACAAACAACAAAAGTTCAAAGATGCTAGCTGGCTTTAGTTTCAGTGTTAGGGTAGACAGCATCAAATTCTTCTAAGTGTGCTCTGGTGCACTGAACACAAGATAATTGTTCTTTAAACACAAAAGGACAGGGCTGGAGAGATGGCTCAGTGGATAAGAGCACTGGCTGCCCTTCCAGAGGTCATGAGTTCAATTCCCAGCAACCACATCGTGGCTCACAACCATCTGTAATGAGATCTGGCGCCCTCTTCTGGCATGTGGGCGTACATGGAGGCAGAATGTTGTATACATAATAAATAAATCTTAAAAAAAAAGTTTAAAAAAAAAACACAAAAGGACAGATGCGAGAACAAACAAGATCAGAATGTAAGTTGGTAGTCAGTTGCCTGCCTTGTAAAACAGAAACAGGAAGACAGACTTACAACACAGATAACAGAGAAATGATTGTTTGGTAAACCATATATTTATATTATATATAAAGCAGGGCTAGAGAGATGGCTCTGGGGTTAAGAGCACTGGATGCTCTTTCCAAAGGACCTGAGTTCAGTTGCCAGCACCCACATGGAGGCTCACAACTGTCTGTAACTTCAGTTCTAGGGAATTCGGTGTCTTCTTCTGGCCTTAGAGGGCACTAGGCACACACATGATGCACAGACATGCATACATGCAGACAAAACACTCATACACATAAAATAATTATAAAACTAACCATTGTAGACTTTAACAGAATGTCAAAGTGCCAGGCACACAGAAAGCCTATTTGAAGTATGCACATTAATTTGGCATAGCTGTTCTTTCTGTGCCCAGTTTTTTAGTAAAATAAACTCAAAAAAGTATCATTGTTTTCCTCTCCTAGTAAAAGGTGCTGTGAGTCACAAATACAAGCACAAAAAGTCCCCCCCCCCCAAGTCACCTGTATTGTTCTACAGTGTGCTTTGGCTACTAATGCTTTTGTGAGATTACCTTCCTTCAGACACTCACTCTAGCCTGTCTTAATGGCTGAGGACAGAGTGTGGTGGCTGCTCTCAGCACTCAGGAGGTAGAGGCAGGAGATCACTGAGTTTGAGATTGTACTGGGCTACCTAGTGAATTCATATGAGGCTGGCCTACATGTGAGACCCTTTTTCATACAAAACAAATGGCCACATGAATATAGACTATACTAAATCATTTAATGTGTGTGCTTTACAAAAGAGAGTCTCAGACATAACCATAACTGTCCTGTCCTTGTATGGTGTCCCCCTCCTCCTTAAATGATAGTTCAATCTACCATCTTAAAAATATACTCTTATTCTGAGAAATTTTTGTATTTTGAGCTAGGATTTCACTGAACTGCTCTGGCTGACTTGGAACTTGCTATACAGTGCAGGCTGGTCTTGAACTCACAGAGATCTGCCTGCCTCTGCATCCAGAGTGCCAGAGTCAAAGGCATACACCACCATGCCTGGCTCATGAAGAATTGTTTAAGATTCTAATATTACATGAGCATCATTTTCGATAGTCCTTATGTTTTAAAAACAGTTGGCATGTAGAGGTATAAAATAGGCTAACATTTTATTTCCCTTTTTAAATTTTGAAATTATTTATTGGGGAGAGGTGAGGTGTTGTGGGTGGGTGTATGAACATCACGGCGGGTATGTAGAGCTCCCGCCCTCCCAAGAGTCAGTTCTCTCCTCTCTCATGTGGGTTTCAGGGTTCAAACTCAGGTTTGCAGGTTTGTAAAGCAAGTACTGGTACCCACTAAGCCACCTAGCCGGTCCTGGTGTGAATATTTTACAGTATCAAATGCATACCCACTAAATTTATATCAGTGTTGCTGTAAACCCAGAAATCTTCATACTATTGATTTAACTCTAGGTGCCTGAGAAACATATCTGGTAGCCACACACTTAGTGTGGTGGCTAGGGATTGGGGAAATAAGTAACTAAATAAGGAAGAGGTGGAGAGCTGACCTCTAAAGGGCTGTGAGGGTTCAGCTCCTTTTCAGGACGCTTGTGTAGCATGCATGAAGCTCTGCATTTGATCCCCAGCATCGAATAAAGCAGGCAGGGGGGCACAGGCCTGTAATCACAGCTATGGGAGGCTGAGGCTGGAGGATCAGAAATTCACACCTAGTTCATCTCAAACCAACAAATAAATCAAACCTGCTAAGTAAATTCTCAGGGAAAGCTTTAGCTGTGGCTACTTTGAAGGCCTCCTGGGTAGAGTCACACAGGTACTCTATGACAATTTCTGCTTGATTTTTCAGAGACGGTGGCTGCAATATGGCTCAGAGTGACTTCCTCTACCCAGAAAACCCAAGGAGGCGGCAGGAAGTGAACCGTCTTCACCAGCAGCTCCTGGACTGCCTGTCTGACAGCTTCCAGGTCACCAACAAGCTGGCAGGGGTCCTGAACACCCACTTGGGCTGTAAGCTGGCCTTCATCGAAATGAAAAGAGATGGGACCATCAAAGAAAACTGTGACATCATTATCCAAGCCATGACAAAAATCCAGAAGGAACTGCAAAAGGTTGATGAGGCACTGAAAGAGAAACTGGAGCCAACGCTTTATAGGAAACTTCAGGATATCAAGGAAAGGGAGACAGAGAAGATAGCAATTGTGCAAAAGGTCATTTCTGTCATCCTGGGAGAAGCTACATCTGCAGCCAGTGCAGTGGCTGTTAAACTCGTGGGCTCAAATGTCACAACTGGCATAATTAACAAGCTGGTCACTGTGCTAGCTCACATTGGGACTTCTCTCCTTGGTAGCATTGGAATTGCTGTGCTCAGTCTTGGCATAGATATGATCATCCAAGCCATCTTGGGAGCAGTGGAGAAGACACAGCTTCAAGCAGCCATCAGAAGTTACGAGAAGCATCTGGTGGAGTTCAAGGCTGCCTCAGAGAGGTACCATCACGCCATCACTGAGGTCAGCAGTGCCGTGAAGCGCCAGATAAGATGAAGTCATGTCTCTACCGCTGGGCTAGTCCTCTGCTTCCCCCTCCATTGCAATGCTTATTTAACTAGCTTCATTTTCCATACTCCTCTCATGTGGACAGAGACAGAGTAAATGATTTGGAATGTTTGGGTGAGTGCCCAACTCGGTGGTACCAGACCCTCAAGAGAGAGTCTCTAACCAGACGTTTTCTTCCCCTGCTGTCAGAACCATGTCGTAGAAATGTATCACCAAGCAGCAGGTACAGAATTGTTTCCTTGTTCCCAATCAGTGTCCTCAAACATCCCACATAAATGCAGAGACCATGCCTATCACCTGTCCCAGCCGTCACGTAGGTCTAACGAGACATCCTCATTGGGCTGGACACACACCTATGGGCCTGCAGGTGAACTAGAAGTGCTTCCATATTTTTCCCACTGGATTAAATGAAATTGTCTGAAAACTGGAAAGGACAGCAAAGCAGCCACATTTCCTTCAAGAACAAAAGGAGGTGATGGAGCTCACTCAATGTCTACTAACTACAAAGCGTGCCTGCGTGGATTTGGAAAGAGAAAATAATAAAACTTGTTTCTATAATGCAACCAATATTGACGAACTGTCATGTAACACTCTGGAACATTCTAAAACACAAACAAGAATAAATCCCAGCTATCCATGCATAAAACATATTAGGGAGAAGAAGAAGACTCCATGCCCTTTAGGAATTTTAGAAACAGCCAGAGGCAATGGAGGCCTACTGATACAACTTAATTTCTGTAGATACAGCATTTGTTTTCTAAATCCTTCAACTGACAATTCCCACTGAGTCAATTTTAGGGTCTACTTCAAAAATTATTATACTGTTGATGCTGAGAATGTCTTTCTTATAGTTGTTTTTAAGTACAAAAATACATTGATACATTAAAATAAAACATTGAATGTATTTCAAAAATTTCTTACAAATTGAAAATTTTTAACTAGCCATATGACTTTTTCAAATGTATTACTTTTTATTTTATTGCTGCTTTTATGAATTAATTTCAACATATCACAATTTGGGTCACCTTCAGATTTATTATTATTACACGATTTGTAAGTTTTGAATGACATTCAAAGATCTTTGCTGACATTCAAAGAGTAATCAAACCAAGAATTTACTAAGACACCCAAGCATCATCATGACCACGGGTCATGCCTGCAATTCCATCAGTCAAGACGATGAGGTAGGAGGGGGAGGTGGAGTTCTACTTATTGACTAGGCAAGTCACGGCTTCATAGGGATCCTATTTCAAACTTTTAATTTTTTTTCTACTACAACAAAGCTTAAATATGGAACTGACGTAACGCTGTTATGGGACACACTTGACACATTATAAACATTAATATACATCTCTCGCAATACTTACGAAACATCTGATATTGAAAATTCCCTTATAACCTTTATCTGCAAAAGATGCTCAGATTAGCTTGAAAAACAACCAAGCATGAGAGCTTTACGAAGATTTCGTTTAAAATGCTTACCTTTAAGGGGAAAGGGGAAAGGGGAAAGGGGAAAGGGAAAAGGGGAAAGGAGTTTTAAGGAATGGGGATGAAGAAGGAAAGGACGAAGACTAGAGAGAAATAATTATTCCGAGCGTGTAATGACATCATAAAGGACTTTGGGCTGATGGAAAGACCAGAAGAGAAGGGAGTGTTACGTGCCAACTTCTCCTCTGTAAAATCTAAAGCATGTATTATGATTCTCTTTAAAAATATTTTTTTCGTGTAGTTTATCTATTAGTGAGTCTCGCCAGGAAATGACTTTTTTTTTCAGTTCCACGCGTTCTGGGTGTTTATGAGCCACTACTGAATTTCTAGGAGCGCCAGGCACCAAGGGGCTGATGTTCGCCGAGTCGGTGCCCAGTGTTAATCGGGAGCTAGTTTTCATCCATTTACACCCAACACGAGGGACAAAACCAACACACGGCAACGCCGGGTGCACCGGCACCTGACGTCTCAACAGGAGGAGCCTCCGGAAATACGTCAGAAGTCCGAGAGAGAAAAAAAATAATTGACCAATCAAATAACAGCTTCCTTCTTTTCATTCTTATTGGACTATATCAGTGTCAATCTACAATGCTTCGGAATGAGGCGGGTTCTTGGCCGACAGCTATCCAATCGGATGTTGGATTGGAGCGGAAGCAACTCTGGTCCTGACGTCGTAGTGTCCTCTCTATGATCCCGGGCCTCAGCAACGCGGTGAGAGCGTCGGCCGCGGGTACAGGAAGTGACATAAGGATGGCGGAGGGGCGCGAGGTTTCAAGATGGCGGGGTCTGGGTGGTTGACCGAGAGGCAGAGGTGAAGGCCCCGACCGCAGAAAGTAGGCTGGGACCGCCTGCTCCCCGGCCTCGCCGATCCGGGAGCCCCGCAGTCGCGTGAGTGTGCGCGGTCGCAGTGCTCCGTCGCCCGCGATTCTCTCCGGGGCCTGCGCGGCCGCCTCGGAAACACCGGGCCCGAGGGCCGCGCTCTTCCTCCGCTGGGCCGGGGTCGCGGGAGCTGCGGGCTGGAGGGCTCCGGGGCCCGGCCGGCTTGGCGCGGCGTCCGACAGGCCCGGCCCGTTAGGTCCGCTTCCTGAGCGCGTCGGCCAGCGGCCTGGGTTGAAGTCCGGCCGCTCGAGTCGGAGTCAACCGTCGCTATGGTGCCGGCAGTTGCGGTTGAGGCCTCGGCGGTGGACCTGGAGGGGTCCCGCGGCGCGTGTGCTCTCCGGGTCCCCCGGGTCTTTTGACCCGATCTCTCCCCGATGCTTCTGCTTTTAGGAGAGTCGCTTTTTTAGACGAAGGCAGATAGCCTTGTAAAAATTCTCAGTGACTCGTGGCTCTTGTGTTTTCAGTTGTGGGAGGGGGGAAAAAAGGTCAGAACGTGAACCTGAGGCTACTTCAAAAAGGGAAACACTAAAGACGATCAAAAATATCAAAGCTTGTATCCGTGTTTTTTTTTTCTAATTCTCTATAATCAGTACCCTTCTCTTCTTCCTCCCATCATCCTGCACCTCCTGTTTTCCGATAACGAAACATTTTCTGAGGAAATAATCGCCACCGAACGGTTCTAAACAATCTAGAAAGTAGCAGGGAGCTGGGCAGTTGGTGACTTCACGAAAGAAGCATTAACTAAAGCCTACAAGGTCTTAAAGGAGCCAGAGGAGTTACAGTTGTGGATCTGTTAAATTCAGTTAAGGATCTCCTCATTCCTTACCTTTAAAGGTGCCTCTTAAAGAAAGAAAGTAGATTTGTTTAGTGTACAAAGGGGAGCAACAAGAAGGTACCCCTAGCCAAATGTCACATAGTTTCAACGGGTTAACATTCATTCATTTTTAATGGAAGGAGGACTGATACAAATAAAAGCCCTGAAAATATTTTCCTACTGTGACTGCCACTTTTAGTTACCTTAAAACAGGTAAATCGCCGCCTAGACCCATTATTCCTACTTGTGTTTGATTTCGCCCTCTGTTTAAAGGGGGATGTATGAAAGGACTAATGACTTCCTATACTCGGGGTTTGTATCCATTGGTAGGACATTTTCTAGTTAGTTTTGTTTTGCTTTGAGATAGTCCACATCCAAGTGCAAACTCCTAGTTGATTCTTTTCAGCTGACAGCTATATAATGCATAGCAAAGTGTTAAATAGTTAATGATATCTCATTGCCTTGACTAATACAGATGTTAGCTTTTCTGTGGTCGGCAAAGGTAAAGCTGTATAATACATTCAGAATTAAAGAAAGCAGGTTCTCACAAAATCAATAATCAAAGGGATATTTCTTTCCAGAAATTGATGAAAATTCTAAAAAAGGAAGACATTTTAAACATACAGGAAAACTGAAATTGTTCTTTTTTTTAATTGCAGGTGTTTTGTTGTTTTTTTTTTTTAATGAAGAAGTAAATCATATAAATTGTCAACATGGGACGGAGATCAACATCCTCCACCAAGAGTGGGAAGTTTATGAACCCCACAGACCAAGCTCGTAAGTGCCATTACTGTGGAATGACGAAGTAGAAGAGTCAAAAACTGCAGAGAATATTTCACTGTGGCTTAAGCATTGGTAGGAGTGAGTTGGGTAAAGTCATGATGAATTCTTATTAAAATTAATTCACATGACTAAATTGTTGAGAATGTAAGCCAGTTAAAACCATGTTTCTTTGTTGAACTTGGTTGATTTGCAAGATGAAATCAGCTTATCTTTTGTATTGGAGGTTTTAAACATGAGTTTTTAAGTGATCGTTTGATATTTGAGAATCTCTTTCTCCTTGTGGTTCGGTTATCTCTGTGAAAACACACATTTGGGCATTGGGGGTGTGAGGGTTTGAGGTGCTACAGCTGTCGACAGGTCGGAGCCTCTGCTGTTGTCACATAGCCCACGTTGCCTAGGGAAGCCTCAGGAGAAGAGTGTGTGTGTGTGTGTGTGCGTGCGTGTGTGCGCGCGCGTGTGTGTTGTCGTATAGATACTAAATGCTGATACTGAAGACGTGCGTTACATGTCTCTTCCCTTCTCTTTAGGAAAGGAAGCCCGGAAAAGAGAACTGAAAAAGGTACAAATTTAGATGAACTCTGTGTATTAATTGAGATTTTTGAATGAAATAATATTTCAAATTATATGCCAGAAAAGATGCTTTATACTTCTAATAAAAAACAGACAATTGACTGTTTAAAACAGTGCTTTGGGGCAGGGGTGATGGCTTAGTGTTGAATAGCACATAGTGCTCTCGCCCAGGCTCTGAGTCCATTCCTGGCAGCAGTGTTAGGTGGCTCACAGCCATCTGTTCTGATCTCCACAAACACATGCCCGTGCATGCACATAACACATACTCATAAAAAATGAAATTTTAAAATGCCTTTTGAGAATAATTCTTAAGTGAGTGTGGTAGTTTGTGCCTGTAATCCCAGCACTTGGAATGTGGAGATCATAGTCAAGAGTATCAGGAGTTCAAGGCCAGCCTGCTACATCAGACCTTGCCTTCAGAAAGAAATTATTTTTGCTACTTATCAAAATGTAG